GACGCTGCGCCTGCAAACACCCGACGTTGTGCGTGCAACACTTCACGCAGCACCTTGTTGGTGTGTTGACGCCGTTGCAGCGCTTCTCTCGGCCGCAGGATGTCAGCTCGGTCTTCCAGATCTTTCACCGTTGCCTCAAGTTGTTTCCTCTCTTCCTCCAGCCGATCCATCTCCTCCTGTCATTGTCTCCATTTGCCAATTAGAAAATTCCAATTGTTGCCAAAACGATTGAACTGGTTGAAAAACATGCCTTGCGACGGTAGTAGGTGGGGATTTTCTTGCGCTTGGGCTTGCTGGCATTTCTGCGCTTGCGGACGGTGGTGGCTGTTGCTTTCTGGCGCTTGTGGGGCGATGCATCGTCGCTGGAGGACGACGACGGGCTTGCATTTGTTGCCATTGACGTCAGTCGCTTCGAGCCCTGGCATGGTGGGGGAGAATAATCGAGGCTATTTTGGTAATTAAGCGTGCTGAGACTATCACCTTGTTTTGAAACAATCCGGTATCGAATTTCTTCACAGTTCTACCTTGTTTTGGGACGGACTGACAGAGGGGAGTAAACAACTTGATTCTATTGGTGAAATGAAACTGTCGCTAATGATTGGCTGATATAATTAATCTACATCAACGATGTGTGGACTACCCATTCGGACATAGTAGAGACGAAGACACCCATTTTGAATAGGTTTCTTTGGAGAATTGGGAATGAACAAACTTTCTGCCTTCCACACTGCGCATATCGGATGTACTTAAGTAATCTGGTGCTGGCTTAAACCAGGCAGGTCTACAGTAAAGCACCGCGTTTTCGCGGGGGTGGTCCATATACGATTTGCAAACGCATCAGGTTTTCAGCATAGTAACTGGAGGATTGGTAAATGGAATATCAAAGTTCCGAGGGTGCGAAAGCGGGGTGCGCTGTGAAGCTCTCACATGCCATCAAGTTCATCGAAGATCACGGTACGTTCGTCATCAATATGCCAGCGCAGGTATATCCCGACGAAGTTTGGGTGAGTCAATTATCCCAGGACTCCGCATTGGGCAGCAGGTATCGCGACAACCTGATCTTAAAACGAACCCAACAAAATGTAACGTAGCAAATGTTAACTCGTCTCCTTGGAGCAGTTTGAGCTCAAGACAGATTGATACATATGAGAGCGATCACAAAGATCTCATTCCTAGTGTGTGAGAAGATGAAAACTTGAAAAATGTTTTCTAGACCATGAAAAGTTTGCTTAAGATGCTGCAACGGTTTTGCGGTGTTCTTGCTAATACATTTCCATGGGTTAAGGCAGACTTTTTGGCTATTGGGTAGGACCCACATGAATAACAGGCAATGGCCGAGTCTTCTCCTTGGAGGGTGCTGAACAACTTGCATTGGTGTCAACGAAGGATTTCACTAAAGATGTCAGCCGTCCTGATTTGAAAACCACCTTTCGACAATTTAGCCCATTTCTGATCACGGGACGCCATTTTGGGCACTTGCGTTGTTGCTGGTTTACGAGGTCGACTGGGAAGCGCAATTGTAACCACAGCCCACCCACATGACCTCATCCTCGGCCTCACTTGGTTCCAGTATGATGCTCTCTGCCCTATCCTGGCCGATTTGGGATGCAACTAGTGCCAGCAACTCACTTCCGAAAGCGCTCGACCCTGACTCAAGTCACACTTAGTCGCAATGGCACCGGACACTCTCGTTCAGCAAATGCCGTCTTTGCCGACCCGCGGGCGAACGTTCCTCTCGCGGTCGCTAGTCCAACCTGCCCCACCAGCTCGTGAGCTCGAAGCCAAGTACATGTCATTCAAGGCCCACGAACCATCACAACCACATGAAGAAGACATTTTCCTTACTGGGATAAACAAACCGCAACGAAAATCGGCCCCTTCAGCCACGGTTCGTGGAAAAAAAAAATCAATTGGCAAAACGTAAAATTATCTAAACTTTTTTTTTCTTATTTGCAACTTTTCAGCACGAATTGCGGCAACTACGTGCCGATGCTGTCGCAATGGAAGCTCAATTGGCGTCACTTTGCGTCAAGTGGCAAGAAAACTTACCCGACCCTGCCATTCGAGAGTCCGCCTGCATGGCAGCCAAAGCGAAATGGATCTCGTCCCAGGCAGAGCAAGTCAACCGCTCGCTCAAAGACCAAGTGCTGCAACAGCAACTGTACTTGGCATCATTGCAACATTTCATGACCCAATCGCCGTTTCTCACCCCGTCCAGGAGCAAAGAGCTCTTTGACGGGATGCACGGCTACTCGGAGCTTACGATGGCCATGTCCGATGCTCAACGCACTAGTCACCTCCAGTCCCAATGTGACCTGGGCGTTCGTCTGGTTCCGGCACTTATGGGTCGATTCACTCGCCAACATTTGCCAAGTGCAACATTCAGCAACCCATTCTCACACACCAGTGTCATGGCCGATGGAAACTACACTTACGTTTCCAATATTCTCCTCTGTCGGATCCCACATCGATCACTGGAAGTGGCAGTGGGGGCAGCGTTGCATTATTTCCAGAATTT